TGCAGAGGTGCGAGATGTATGCACAGAGCAGGTACACTGCCCGAGGGGTCTGCAGGCTGGAGGAAAGGGTGTATCTCACCTTTCCTCTGACCTTCAAAATTGCTCATACCCTGAGTGCGCTGCCACAAAGATCCTCTGCCTGACCCACTGCCTTGGCCATGCCGCCTCCCCCTCTGCACCTCTCCCTTGGGCTCCCTGCTCTCCCTCACTGCAGCCTGTCATTCACCTTCGCCACTCCATGGCCTGAACATTCATTGTTTTGTTATATTTGTTCACAACCCACTCCTGTGATTTTTTGGTGTGTTGCATCCTATGTGTCAGATATAAACAAGTGCTGAACCTACCTAATTATCCTCCCTCAAACTCTTTCCAAATCTGCTTTGCTGCACTTCGCCAGTTTTCAGGCAAGACCGCATGCTGTGCATGTCATGGGCTACCTCCCCGAGGAGAGATGCCTCCCCGGGACCCCCCGAGCCCTGCCCTTGCATCTACCTGGTGTCTACACCTGGGCTGGACCCTTGCCCAGTACTCCCAGGCTGCGCAGCGCAGAGGGATGCCAACCCAGTCATCAGCCCCAGGAGATTTCTGTGCCTAAGAGCTGAGGGAAGCCAATTTGCCTCCCTGTGCTCGCTCAGGGGCACTGCACCTTTCTGTCAATGGCACAGGACATCCAAAACCCCGTGCCAGGCGAGGCGGGAGCAGGACCCCGGCCCCTCCATGCAAGGCAGGGTTGATCGGGCGGGGGAGAGCAGGTTCCCCACCGCCTCCATCTCTCCCCATCTCCTCTCTCAAGCAGAAACCGCAGGGCGGCCGGCAGCTGCCTTTGGGACGCTCCACTTCGCATCGGTCACCGCCATCTAGCGGGGTCGGGGGTGGATAACCAACCACCCCAAGGGGCAGGAGGGGCTCACCAGCACCCCTCTGATGTGGGGCCCGGCGGGTTCCCCTTCCCGCTTCCCCCCCCTCCCCCCCCATTTATCCTCAGTGCAGAAGGTGAATACTCGATGCGCCGTTTGGGAGCAGAGGCGGCGTGCCCCACCAAGCCCCTCACAGCCCCGCGAAGGGACACTCCCTCCTTGGCAGGCCCCTGAGCACTCCCGCAGCAGCCTCCCTGTTCGAAGGATGTGGGCAGACAGGAATCAAAATAAACGGCTGAAAACATGCACCAACTCCACAATGAGCTTGCAGGCAGAAGGGATCTCGTTGTCCTGTTTGTTGTGGGAAATGAGTCTGGTGGAGGGCTGGGAGATGGAACAGGCCGGGAAAGACAGTAGTCGGCTTCAAAGAACAGTTTTTGGGGGTCAAAACTGATTTTGGAATACTTTATTTATGTGTAGATCAGATGATAGTAATATCTTCCTTGCCATGGCAGTAATTAAACACCCCAGAGTGTAGGCTTTTATGAACAGGTCTGACGAACACCTGCAGAGGACAGCGCTGTTGTGCCTCAGAGATGCAGGTGTTTGTGCTCTTAAAATGTCTCTTCCAGTTCTTCAGCCCATTGGCTTTTAATGGTCTCCATAAAAGAGAGGGAAGGAGGCGTGTTCTTCCTTTTCAATGCTCAGTTACAGGTACAGGAAGGGGGAGGGAGGATGCAAAGCATCCCCCAGAGAACCTTAAATTACGTTATTCAACTGACTAATTAGGTCTCACCGGGAACATGTTTTCTCTAGTTGCGAGCACTGAAGTACTTCAAATATTTATCTATGTACTTCAGTTTACATTTTGATGATGCCGGTTCTTTTTTCCTCTGCGTTGCATAATAGCAATAGAAAATTCACAGCTGAAGAGCGCGGCTGGAGAAGATGTTTCAGAGGAAAGAGGAGGAAGGAAAGAGGACACTTGGTACGTGCCTCTTGCCTCAGCTGTGGTGTTAATTTCTTAGAGCCCGTGCCTGTAACCGGAGCAGAGGCCCCGTTTACATTTTGATGATGCCGGTTCTTTTTTCCTCTGCGTTGCATAATAGCAATAGAAAATTCACAGCTGAAGAGCGCGGCTGGAGAAGATGTTTCAGAGGAAAGAGGAGGAAGGAAAGAGGACACTTGGTACGTGCCTCTTGCCTCAGCTGTGGTGTTAATTTCTTAGAGCCCGTGCCTGTAACCGGAGCAGAGGCCCCGAGTCCAAAAGGGGCTGCAGAGCCACCCTG